ATTTTGAAAGTGCTCCCCTCTTCCCAAGCAGGTGCTCCCTCGCTGCCATTGCCTTTGGACATCTCTCTCTGCAACTGCGGTACCTGTAGCCGTCCAACGCAGACGCACACTGGAGACTTTGCAGGGAGCTCCCAGGCCTTCGACCTTGAACTGGCGCCGCTTTCTTGGCCCTGCCTGCTCTGCAGAGTGCATCTCGGATGGAGCAGCTTCTGGATCCTTGAGTGAGCAGCCACTGTGGACTCTTGGCTTGCACCCCGCAGGCCTCCTTGATAAATCCTCTGGCCTAATCACACACGTATATTTGACTGAGCCCTGGCTCATGCACCGTGGAAGAGGGAGAAGGAACAAGAGAACAAACAGCTGTGTTCGTGCCAAAAGATTTGCTGCAGAGGACGTGAGGGTAATGAATGACACCCCTGTCCCGGGAGAAGGTCATCGTAGGGTGTTCTGCTTCTCAGGATGTGAATGGCATGGGTCTAACCGCTGCTGGGAGTGATCCAGCATGGAGGAGGAAGCTGATGATACTGAAGCAGGATCCACAGATCCTTGGGCACATGCCCTTGACTGGATGAATGAATGCTGCAGGGCTCTGGGCCCATCCATCAGAGACCCCATCTTGAAGGGTCTGCCTTCACCACAGTGCGGGGCTGATGGGGATGCAGGCTTCAGCGAGCCAGCCACGTCTGCTTCATGAAGTCTGGGGCTTCTGTGATTTGAATATGGCTTTCCCTCTCTGAACGCTTGAGCTGGTGTTGGCATCCCCATCCGAGAAGATGGGATTCGTCCAGGTGTGGGGTGCTCAGGTGAGACTGGGTCATTAAGCTCATGGCATCTGGAGGCTTTTGAAGGGAGAGTCGACAGCAGCCACAGGCTGTACACGTGCCTCACGCCCCACTGTGGAACGTCCTGTGTCACCCTGGGACGCTGTCACCAACACAAACACATCCCCTCCACCTGCGAACAGAATCGCTAGCCGGCATCCACCTGCTTTTCTTCTCTTACTGAAGCCACAGGTGTGTGTGTTCCTGTGTCAGCAGTAGCAAAGAAGGGCGGGAGGCGCGGGCATCCCCTGCACTGTGAATCCCCCTGTACTGTGAATCTGTTCTTCCTAACTGGAGATTGGATGAGGGATTGCAGAGGAGCCCAGGCTGGTTCACACGGAGCTGGTTCTGACACCCTCCCGTGGAAATCACTTTCCTCGGGATCAACAGATCGATCGCAACAGAATGGGGCTGTGGGCAGGGCTGGCATCCCCAGGGGGGCTCATTTCTCGTGTCATCCCTGGGTCTGATCCACGAAGCTGGGAATTCTTCCCAGGGGAAGAGCAGCCGCCTTTGCCTGTGAAAAGGTTAATTCCTTCTCAGTCAGCCCAACACGTGGGCGGTGGTTTTGATGTGTTTGCAGAAACAACAAATCACACTTATCTTATCTTTAGAAATGCACAAGCCTGGCTGCTTTTCCCCAGGTACCCAGGCTCGCTGAGGGGAAGTGTCCTTGAATTTGGAGGCAGGCCTGTGTTTCAGGATGAGGCCCAGAAGAGACATTACAGGGGGGAGGAGGGCAAAAGGCTCCGTCTGACAAAGGGACATGAAGACCCCAGATCACACGGGTGCTCAGCAGGAAGCCCTGACCTCATAGCTGCTGATCCACACATGCAACTGTTACAGAGAGAATCCCAGCCTCCTGCTGTCTCAAGCTCTTCGTATTTTAAAGCATCTGACTTCACTCCCATGCACATGAATATTCCTCTACCACATAATTTTAAATTTCCCTAATGCGCCTGATCCCTTCTTTACAAAGGCGAGGTGAGGTACTGCACACAATGGCCTGCAGCTATTTTCTCTCCCAATTTGATGACCCAGTGATTAGAATATGATTCATGGGGCTAACGTTCCACCTTGATTTTTGAATATTAAAGACAGAAAAGGGGGAAAAAAGGCTGGGCTGGGCAGTCGAAGCCACTGTAAGGGTTCTGGGAGGGATGCGGATTTCAGAAGCCACTGTAAGGGTTCTGGGAGGGATGCGGATTTCAGTGCACGAGCGAAGGGCAAGCGTTGATATTTTTCTGGTGAAAGGAGTTAACTTTGCAGCGGGGGGGGGGGATATTATCAAAGTTTTTTTGCTAAGAGATTTACAAACCCAAAGATAGGTTGTAAGGGAAGTAAATTGGAAAGAAAAGGAACTAATTGGGCGGCAGCTGATTTCATTACCGAGTCCCAGCCACAGTGAGGAGCACCTCATGGAACACAAACCCGGAGAAAAGCGAATTAGTAGGCAAGCTCATTAATTCTGTAACTTGAGGAAACACGTAATTATCTCAGGAGAAAAGCTGTCAAAACTGACTGGAAGACAGAGAGGAAAAGCCTAACCCGGCCACAGTAAGCAGGAAAGAAATAATTGCGCACGCGGACTTGGAATCATTCTCCTGAAAACTCTCCCCAGTGCAGAGAGTTTGGAGGTAAAAGCACACACTTTTCCCGATAATTGGAAGATTGCGGAGTCGAAGGAGGGAAAAAGAAGCAAAAGTTTGTCCATTTTTTTTAAACAAATCGCCCACACTTTAGTATGCACAGCTAGAATGGACAGGACAGAGAGGAAATCCATGGTTTATGAATATCAGTCACCCAAAAGTGCTCAGTGGAAAGATGAGAACAGAGTGACGGGAAGGTGTGACATTGTTCAGGTCTGGAGGATTAATCAAGCAGAAGACCGCCGTGCAGAGACAGTGAAGAAAAACATTTGTCTGAATCAGAGCCAGCAGCGGTCTGGTGTGAAAGGAGAGAAAGTCAATGGGTTTGTTTGGTCTCTTTGGCAACTAAAAGAGTCTGACTTTACAGGACAAAGAGTATAGGAGTGAATGGGTGTAGTCAATCTATGGGCACCCGTCAATCAGTGGTTATCAATCAATGAATGGTCAGTTAATGAATGGGTAGAGCAGTGTGCCAATCAAACTGTATTTATAAATGCAGGTGTCCAGTCTGGAGCATAACTTTGTCAACATTTTTTGGAAAAAAAAATTGAACAATGAGACTATTTATTTTAAAAGTAAAATAGGAGTGATATGGGAAGTCGTATATAATAAGTCACGGGATGCAAATAATAATACACGTATGTATTGTGGAAGGAAGTAGTAAGTATGTTTGCCTCCAAATAGAAAATAAGACCACCGGGCTATCTTAATGATAGATGATTTAGTTTTCTTTTGATGTGTTCCCACAGAGCTGCCATGAACATTTCTGGGAGAGGTGGACATATGAGAAGGGATGCAGCCAGGATGCAGCCTTTGCCAGTATGTACCAGGCTACAGCATCTGCCGCCAGCACTGAAAACGAAAGGAAAACATACACAAAAAGAGAAGACATCCGCACAGGGGAGAAGCCACGAGACAATGGAAGCAGAGACTGGAGTGAGGGAGGCGCAGCCAGGGCCACCTGGAGCCCTGGGAGGAGGAGGCAGAGGCAGGAGGGTCTCCCTGGGAGCCCGTGGAGGGAGCACCATGCTGGGGCACCCTGGTCTCAGTCTCCTGGGCCCCATGCCCAAGAGGGGATCCATGCTTGTTGTTTAAGCTTCTGCTCTGTGTAACTGTAAAGAGAGCCAGAAGAAACCCATGCACAGAACAAAGAAAGCAGCATTTTCCTCCCCAAGGATCCAAAGACACGGGGCATCCATTCTCAGAAGCGCACACGTGCCAGGCAGATTCTGAGCGAGAACCCAAGTGGTGAGGAATCCATGGGGGAGAGGTTGGCTCTCTGGGGAAGTCAAAGCCGCCTTCAGAGACCGAAGAGAGGGCGCGGAAGCCACGAGCTCACGGTATTACTGGCTTTCAGATAATGTTTGCGTTGCTTCCGTAGACTGCAATTTTGTAAAGCTGCGTCCATGAGAGAAAAAAAACAATAAGCAACATCAAGAACCTAACCAGAAGATTAGGAAGAAATAGATCAGAACATGCATGGGGACTTACAAAGAACAGAAGAACAAAAATTTATGCAGGGCACCCAAGAGGAGGGAAAGCCATGGAGACTCAGCTGTGTCTCGGAGAGGATGGGAGCACGTCCTGCTCCTGGATTTAAATCAAACATCCTCCTGTAGATGTGGAAAATTAATCCTCGCTCTGATGATCACAGGAATGGATAATAGCTGGGCATAGTGGCACACGCCTGTCATCCCGGCACACGAGAGGCTGAGGCAGGAGGACCTCTGTGAGTTCGAGGCCAGGATGAGCTACCTAGTGAGACTCTTGTCTCAAAATCCTCCCCGCCCAAACTGAGCACACCTCCAGCTGGCCTGATGTGCACATCATCTGAGCGAGGAGCTGGACAGAGAACCCAGCCATGCAGCCCGGAGGTCCGTGAACCCCCAAGACTGTGCTTGGACCAAGCTGGTGGAATTCCACCTCGTTCAGCCCGGCCAGGCCCTGTTCTGCTGAGGCCTTTCTTGGGGCTCAGCATGTACCCCCAAACCCTGCAAGCTGAGGGAATCTGAGAAGACTGCAGAAAGAGGGAGACCCTTTCCTCTTCCCCTCAGCTCTCTCCTCCGAGGTTAGACGCAGACGGCAGACGGAGGAGGAGAGCTCAGCACGGGAGGGAGTGCAACTCCTGCCTCCTTGGCTCCTCCTCTCCACAGGCCCCTAGGGCAGGCAAAGCTTCCCTTAGATACAGTCCTTCCATTCCCTTTGCTCCCGTGGATCTGTCGTCCTTTCGTATTTATCCAAGACGGGCTGAGTCATTGGCAGCCCTGACTCAGGTCTCAGGAACACGGAGCCCTAAGCACTTGCAGGCGGCGTCTCTCTGATCGCAGACATGCCCACCACCCTCCTGTGCTCAAAAACAAAACATCTGCTTCCTCCTTCCCCGAGAATACCAGCGAGTCCTTCCCTACACGGGGGATGCCCTGCCACAAGCTTCCTGTGTGCACCATCGAACACGGGGATTCCTTGTTGCTGGACTGGACGTCCCCGCAGCCGACCAAGGCAGACGCAGCTAAGCAACCACGAGTCTTACCTTGAAGAGCAACCAGCCTAGAACCTTCTGCACCAGACGCGTGCCCCAGAATACGTGCTTGTAGAGGTCCGTGTTGACCACGCCGGGGTCCACCACGTTGGCAGTCACGTGGCAGCCCTGGGCACCCAGCAGCCTCTGGAGGTGGTAGGAGAACATGACCAGGGCCAGTTTGCTCTGCGCGTAGGCTCCGTGGGCCGAGTAGGAGCGGCTGGAGAGGAAACATCAGAGAGGGAGTGAGCGGATCCTGGTGCCTGTGCCCAAGGCCCTCCCCACCCTCTGTGCCTTGTCCTCACACAATTATGGAGGTGGCCCCTGGTCTAAAGCCCTGTCTCGTCCCTGAGATGCAACAGCCAACACCCCCAGTGTAAATGTGGGAGGCTTGTGTTGGTTCATGGGTCCAGTCCACGGCTGGCTCCAAGGCAAAACCAACATGGCAGAAGAGAGCTGCTTACATCATGGTGGTTGGGAAGCAGAGAGGGAAAGGAGTCAGGATTCAGTCCCTCCCAGAGGGGCACCTAGGAGTGCGCAGGGTTCCAAGGGACAGGCTTGAGCAAAACCACCACAGCAGCTACCACTGACCTGACGTCTGGCTTCCCGCAGTTGCCCCGGGGGAGCTCCGGTCTCAGCTCCTAAGGTTCCAAAAGCAAGTGTCAGAAGTCCTCCTCTGAGTCCTCTGCATCAATTTCTGCATCCTCACAAACCACCCCGACTTCTGCTTCATTATCTGCAGGCACGGAGGCTACCCCAGCTTTGGCCAGTGCATCCTCGAATGCAGTCCTGGGCTTCATTTCCAAAGAAAAGTCACCTTACTGACAATTCTTCTCTCTATCACTGTGTTTGAGTCTGGTGCAAGATTCTGGAGTTCCTCCCGCAATTTCTTTATGTCTGGGGTTTTCTGAATTCATCGTTTTGGTATCACAGACTCATAATTTAATTAGATTGGGTAGGGATCTTCTATCGAGTCACTGTTCTTTGCAATTGCTAAAGCAGTCCTTGGGGTCTGAGGCAGGATTCCTAGGTATAAACACTTCATTTCTTTATCTGTTTGCTTTTTGGTTGGTCCTGGGATGGAACCCAAGGCCTCTGCACTGAACTACATGTCCAACCCTTTTTATTTTGACACAAGTTCTCACCAAGTTGTTAATTTGTCCAGGTTGAGCTGAAACTTGCAGTCCTCCTGCCTCAGCCTGCCAGAATGCTGGGATCACAGGTCTGTGAGATGCTTTTGTCTCTCATCAACTTTCACCTACATAGGTGTTTCTTGTAATGTTGGAAAATCCAGGGCTGGGGGTGAAGCTCAGGAAGAGAGCACTCACCTAGCATTGGCGAGGCCCTGGGCTCAACTCTCAGCATTGCAAAGAAGAAAGAAAACAACCCACAAGTGTGATTCACCACACTGATAAACTTCAGATGAAAACTGACATACAGAATCTAAGGTTTGGCCTGGTGTGCTTCCTCAGTTCCACCCACTTCCTGTGCCCTGGGACACTCGGTACTCACAAATCCACTTCCGAAGGAAGGCTACGGGGCAAATCTGAACTGTGGCCTGGAGTCCACTGGCTTCGGGAAGGAAAGTGACCCCCAAGCCCACTAACGTAGGGGTAGGTGGAGGCAGGAAAGAGGATATTAAAAGATTCCCTTGTGCAGGAGCATGTGCTGAAGCTACACAATCCAGACAGAACTCTGTGGCAGGAGGTGTGAGGTGAAAAAACTGGATATATGTCCATAGAGTGGAGGGATTGTGAAAAGAATCAGAGTTGAGCAGAGTTCAGGTTCCCACTGTGCTAAGGCTTAGATCTGAAATGTCCTCCAAAGTCTCCTGTGTGTTGAATGTGACTGGGTCATGGGGCACAGTATTCAACACTGGACTTATGCACAGATGGGTTCATGGCTGAACCTGCTTTTAGGAAATAGGACTTGGTTGGAGGTGGTCACGGGGCTGTGACCTGGAAGGGTGACTTCTTGTCCCTGGCTTCTTCCTTCTCTCTCTGCTTCCTGGTCACCATAAGTTGAGTACGTCTCCTTCACGGCCATCCACCATATTGTTTCTACCCTGGAGCAGCCAAGCATGGACTGAACCCTCTGAGACCACTGGAGCAGCCGACCACGGACTGAATTATTAACACACATTCATTATACCTGTCAGTGGGTTTCCCTGTCACGTTTCCATATATGTATATATATATATAACATATCTGTCCCAAAACATCACATACATAGAATCAAGGATAAAAAGAACAGTATGATCACCTCAATAGCTGCAGAAAAAGCATTTGATAAAAATCAACATCCCTTCATGATTAAAGCCCTGGACCATTAGTCAGAGAGGGATCAGACTCTCACATGATCCAGGGCATAGATGACAGACCCACAGCCCACACCACACTGAACAGAGAATATCCTCCTTACAGATCGGGCACGAGTTAAGGACCTCCACTCTCAACACTTCTGTTCAGGAGAGTACTCGAAACTGGAGCCACAGTGATTAGTTAACAGAAAGACATAAAAAGCACACAAATAGCAAAGGAAGAAGTCCAACTACCTTTGTCTGCAGATGACACAATTCTAGATATAGAAACCCTAAAGCTGCCACCAAGGCATGATTAGAACTAATAAGCACCTTGAGCACAGTAGCAGAATACAAAATCAACCTAAAAAGGTGGATAGTTTTGGCTTTCCTTTTTCACTTTTTATTTTTTTGTGGTACTGGGGATTGAACCCAGGGCCTTACATTGAGCTACATCCCCAACACTTTTGTGTGTTTTTTTCTTTTTAATTTTGAGACAGGGTCTCACTAAGCCATGATGTTGCCCAGGCTGGGTTTGAACTTGCAGCCCCCCTGCCTCAGCCTCCCAGAGTGCTGAGATGACAGGGATGCACTGCCATGCCCAGCTTGATAACTTTGAATATGCACAAATAATGAATATGCTGAGAAGGAAACCAGGAGAATAATCCTACTCACAATAGCAAAAGCAAACATAAACGCAACAAACACTAAGCCTATGCAAGGATGTGAAGGACCTAAGATACCTTTTTCAGCCTCATCCTTCAGCCTGCTGGCCACAGGGGAGATAAGACACCGGGAACAGGACATTATTATTGGGTCTGGTGAGATTTGAGCTTTTCCCCACTGGTAAGTATCCTTAAATAGCCTATGGAAGATTTTCATCCTGACCCACCAGGGTAGACTAGGAGGCAGGGAGGAGAAGATGGTACTTTAAAAAGAAGAAAGTGAATCGTGCACATGCAGGCTTCTCAGGGATAAACCCATGGCTTCTATAATGACAGTGCCATACAGTATGTGGAGAGGAGAGAGAGGCAAAGTCCTTTAAAAACACTACACATTTCTCTGCAGGAGATGCAGGAAAAAAATGCTCTGGGAGTAGAAATGATTTGAGGAGACTCCCTGGTGCATTTAGGGCTGAAAAAACATCCTCACGACAAGCGCAATGAGATGAAGGCAGGACAGAAGATGATGCGCTTGGCTCTTAAGGTTTTGCAAATACAGCTCTGTTTGTTCAAAACAGCAAAGGGATCGCTCTCAGGTCGGAAAGAAAGGTGGCCAAACAGAGGGAGGTTCAGTGCTGAAAGCAAAGGGGAAAAAATTCACCAAATGTCTACACAGCCTGCTTCTCAGGTGCTCTTTTTAATGATTTGCTTCCACAATGAATGGTGTCAGAAAAGCACAGCCAAGGTCAGAACACACACATATATTTAGCATTATTTATCTGTTTTTATGTTTTGGCTGTTCTGGAGATTGAACCCTGGGTCTTCCCATGCTAAACAATTGCTCTACAACTGACCCATATCCCAGCAATATTTTGACACAGTATCTTGCTAAGTGGCCCAGGCTGGCCTCAAACTTGAGATCCTCCTGTTTCAGCTTCCCAAGTAGCTGGGATCACAGGCATGGTCCCCATAACATGCCTGGATATATCTTTAATTTTCTTTTTCTTGTTTGTTTTAAAATGAAGTCTCACTGTGTAGTGCAGGCTGGCCCTGAACTCACAGCGATCCTCCTGCCTCAGCCTCCTGAGTGCTGGGATTATAGGCATGTGCCACCATGCTTGGCTATCTCTACTTTGTGTGTGTGTGTGCGTGCAGTTTTGAAGACTGAACCCTGGGCATCATTCATGCTAGGCAAGTGCTCTACCACTGAGCTACACCTTTTGCCCAATTTTCTGAAGAAATTAGAGGGTAGCAGAAAGAACGTTTTGAGTCTGCTGGTTCTTATTGGGCTCCCTCTCAAAGTAATCCTGATGTCAGTGAAGCATATTTTGGGGTACACTATTCTGGTATCCCTTAATAGGATCAGACATATATTTTGGGGGGAACTTTTTCATGACAGTATTAATTTTTCATTGTTATAAAATGAATGCACTTTTCATTGTTTTAAAAGTAATAAAGTTGTTAAAAGAAATTAAAGCTAAAGGATTGACAAGAATTATTGATTCTATATTCCTCTCCCCCTCCCAGCAATAGGTTTATAACACTGAATAGGTGAGATTTTGAGCTTTTTATGTGTATAGCTATATCAGCACACATATCTGTATTATATATATTTCTATGTCATTTTTGTCCTAATTTAGAGGTAAGCTTTCTCATTGGCTAGGATGATCCATCTTGGTTGTAGACTATCTTAATCAATACTCTTTCTTCTGTCTCAGTGACTATTTAATTACATCCGATAAAAAATTTTCATTTCTGTCTGTGTTATTCTACATTACATACATATCAGTATTCTGTAGAACAAGTAAATTACTGATCTCCTGCAGGACAAAACCATGGACCTTTTTTGCATTTCAGAAAGAGTTGATTTGTTGAACTCTTTTGATTCTACAAGTAGGACTTTGCTAATCTGAAAAACCAAAGTCCAGTAATGCTCCAAAACACTGAAACATTTTGATCTATGAGGTGAAGATCCAATTGGAAAATTACACCTGATCTCATGTGACAGGTAATTGTCTAAAGGAAGGTGCTCCAAAAATCACATATAAAGATACCTTCAGGTTACATGTACAAGGATGAGTTAGTCAGTTTGCCTTCACTGTGACAAAATACCTGAGAATAACAATTTAAAGGAGCAGAGGGTTAATTTGGCTCATGATCTCAGGGGGTTCAGTCCATGGTTGGCTGCTCCAATGGTCTCAGAGGGTTCAGTCCATGATTGGCTGCTCCAATGGTCTCAGAGGGTTCAGTCCATGGTCA